TGCTATATATGAGAGACACTAAAAATTCCACCAAGAAACAGTTTCAGCCAAGTGGCAGGCTACAAAATCAGCTTACAAAATCAATAGTGTTTCTTTACACCCAAACAAGCACACTGTGAGAGAGATCATGGACACATCCATTATAATAGCATTAAAGAGAATAAAATATCCTGGAATGAACCTGACCAAGGAGGTGATACATCTCTATAATGACAATACGTCTCTAAAATATCTGAAGAGAGACTGAGAAAGACATTAGCAAGCGGACAGACAGCTGTGCTCTTGGCTTGGGAGAGCGAATGTTGTGAAAATGGACTTCCTACCAAAACCAATTTACAGATTCAACATAAATTCCATCATAATATCCAGGAAATTTTTATAGAAATAGAAAAAAATCGTGAAATTAATATGAAAGAAGAAAAGAGCCCACAGAGTCAAAGCAGTCCTGAGCATGGAGAACAATACTGGGGGGTTGTTCCAGACTTCAGTATTATAGAGCTACAGTAATAATTATTGTCCTGATACAAAACAGACTAGTGGACAGTGGAATAGAACAGAAGATCAAAATATGAATAATCATAATCTGAGTTTTGACCAAGAGGCAAGAAGAACAGACAGCTGTTTGACAGCTGGTGCTGGGAAAACTGGATGTGCTTATGCTGAAGAATGAAATTAGACCTGTGTCTCTCACCCTGCACAAATTAGATCCAAATGAATTGGAGACCTCAATTTGAAACTTTAAACTCTTAAACCGGTAGAAGAAAGTGTAGTCTGAACCCTAAAGATTTAGATGTAGGATAGGACTTTCTGAATATGAATCCTTTTGCCTGGGATTTGAGACCAACAATTGACAACTGGGACAACGGAACTAAAAGAAACTAAAATGTTTCTGCACAGACAAGGAAGCAGTCGACTGAGTGAAGAAGAAACCTACAGAATACAAGAGAATTATTTTCAGCTATATATCTGACAGGATAATATATAGAATAAATAAAGAACTTCAAAAAAGAGTCAAGGAAACAAATGACCCAATTAAAAAATAGACTAGTAATCTAAACAAAGAGTTCTCAATAGAATAAATTAAGTGGCTAAGAAATACCTTGGAAAAAGTTCATTGCCCTTAGCAATTAGGTATATGTAAATTCAAACAGCTTTGAGATCTCATCTTACTGTAGTCAGAATGGCTAAGATCAACAAGACAGCTGACAACAAATGTTGGCGGGGTGTGAGGAAAGAGGAACACTTGTTCACTCTTGGAATGTCTACTCTGGAAATCAGAATGCAGAATCTTTAAATATACAGTATAACCCAGCTACACCACTCCTTGGCATGTGCCCAAAGGACTTGAAATCCTACTGCACTGACACCTGCTCAGCCACGTTATTGCCACCGTACTCACAATAGCCAGGAAATGGAAACAACTGAAATGCCCTCAACAGGAGAAAGGGTAGTGAAAATGTGGTACATGTTCACTGTGCACTACTCTTCAGCTGTAAAGAAAAATAAAATCATGAAAATTTCAGGTGGACAGATGCGCCTAATAAAGATTGTATTGAGTGAAGTAACTCAGACCCAGAAAGACAAATGCTGCATTTCTGTCTATTCATGGTTCCAGATCTTCAGATAGGAGTATGCAGCGTGGAGTAACAACAACAACAAACCAGGAAAATATAAAGGGGCCATAGGTGGCAGGGAAGAGAGTGCTTGAGAGGGGAATAAGCAGGATATAAGTGATGTAAAGTGGAAAACAGAAAATTGGAGCAGGTTCCAAAATCAGAGAGAGGGAAGAAGGGAGAGCAATACAGAAGGAGGAGATACCAGGAATCAATAATAACAAGGTTATTTGATGAACTCAAGGAATCACATTACCTTATATATACCTACAATTATAAAAACTTTATCTTAAAGGAAGTTATACCACTTAGGCTGACAGTGGGAAAAAGGAGGAACCCAGTAGAAAGCAGAGAATTCCTTCTTACACTACACACATACACACACACACACACACACACACATATATACACATATATGTATATATATGTATGTGTGTGTTATATAATGTATAATTTGTATTTGAGCCCTCCTGTATTATAACTCTCTCTCTCCATCCATTTCTTTCACAAAAAGAGTAGTTAAAAATCAAAATACAAACCGGGAGGTGGTGGCACACGCCTTTAATCCCAGCACTCGGGAGGCAGAGGCAGGCAGATCTCTGTGAGTCTGAGGCCAGCTTGGTCTATAGAGCTAGTTCCAGGACAGCTAGGGCTGTTACACAGAGAAACTCTGTCTTGAAAAAGAACAATCAAAGTAGGGTATTGTGGTGCGTGCCTTTTATTCCAGCATCTGGGAGGCCAAGACAACAGCAGGTGGATGTCTGTGAACTCAAGACCAGCCTGGTTTTACACAGTGAACTCTAGGACATCCAGAACTACATAGTAGGACTGCCGTGAGTCATGTGACTTCTGCAGGGGATAAGGCCTGAGAATAGCAGGAACAAGTTCTTCTTTTGGCAATCCCTGGGAGAATTTAACCCATTTTTGTCAAGGCTGATGGACAGTTTGTTGTATAATTCTGTGCATGACCCCAGGACCATATGTGCTGCTTGCTCTCCTCACTTTCCTTACACAAATTATTGCTGGTTGCCTTTAGTTTCACTTTCTTGGAGCCATAGATGAAATGGCCATTGCATTAGGAAAATGTTCCCCTGATGACTCTCCTCTGGGTAAGCCAGAGGGGATGTTGTTAAAAATATACAGTGGATCCGATTCAGCTCTTAATGCCTTTGGCGTTTCAAGTATGTCCACGAATTCAGGATTCTAAAGAACAGGATGTTGCCTTTCCAGTGCACCTTGGGACTAGTCTGAAAGAGTCATGGTACTTCAAGACATTGCATATTTGCATAATTGTCCTGGAGAGGATGATTCTAACCACAGGGGTCTAAGAGTAATGCAAATGAATAGATGATATCAAGAGTAAATGGGAACGGTCTAAGAACTGGGAATGAAGTAGAATCACAGAAACCCACAATGCCCTCATCTGTAGCTGTGCCAACACTGTAGGAGCCAATGTAGGAAGCTGAGAGGAAGGGATATGAGAACGAGGACTAAGCAGTGCTAACTATTAAGAGTGAGCTTTTAAGTTATGCAGTTTATGGGATGACAGGAGAAAACCTGGTATAACCCTATAGGAGATAGAGTAAGATACAATGAAGAATAGAGTGATTCGGCCTTGGCTGATGAGTTGATTGCGAGAGTTTAGATTTGACCAGAGATAAACTTTGACTATTAGAGGCAAAACTTTCTTTCACTTTGCATGATGTTGTACTGCAAATGCTGCCAACTGGGCACACTGTTCCACCTGTAAATGTGCCTACTTAGAAACTTTCTTTGTTGCTTGCTATACTGCTTAGACGTCTATTAGTAAGGCTATGAATCAAGTGGGTAATGGTTACCAGTAGGGGTGAGGGACGGAAAGGGAAGGAGATAAGAGAACAAACTGGCAATTATTTTACAGTAATTATTATTAGAAACTTAAGGAAACAAATATGATTGTAAAACTGTCCATGCAATCTATTGAAACTGTATAAATAAAAACGACCCAGGCTATCTGGAGCCACCTGTTTGGAATGGGTGGTCAGACTTTTCTTCCTTTCACTGGCTTCACACATCCGCCCTAGGTTATCAGACCTGCTAAGAGCAAGGCTCTCAGCATAGGACCTTATCTCAACAAACAAACACCAAACCAAGCCAAACCAAAACAAAAATTAAAATGCAAATAACAGATTTTGGCTGGGCGGTGGTGACACATGCCTTTAATCTCAGAATTTGGGAGGCAGAGGCAGGCGGATCTCTGTGAATTCAAGGCCAACCAAAACCAAAAACCCCAAAAAACAAAGAACAAAAACAAAGCAAAACAAAACAACTCCCCCCCCCCAGGTTTTGGCAAATAACAATTATTTTACCACCACATGTAGCTTGGGAGAAGAGAGGCAAATGGTTCCTTTGGCCCAAGTGTGCCTAAACAACCATATGCCATGGGATATTATTTTAAGGTATATTACATTGTTTATGCTGTGGAACATTTGTTTTAATGATGCAAAGATGTGTTGCATTTTTTATGCTGCATTTATTTAAGTCTGTGAAGCTGTGATACTTTGCCTACCTAAAACACGTATGGTCTAATAAAATGTTGAACAGCCAATAGCAAGGCAAGAACAAAGCTAGGTGGAATTGGCAGGCAGAGAGGATAAACAGAAGGAGAAATCTGGGAAAGAAAGAGGTCAAGGAGCAAGAAAAAGAGAAGTAGAGGGATGCCAGGGGCCAGCCTCCCAGCTACACATCTGGTCATGGAGTAAGAAGTAAAGAAAGGAATATAGAATAGAGAAAGACAAAAGCCTAGAGCCAAAAGATAGGTGGGGTAATTTAAGAAAAGCCGACTGGAACTGAGCCAAGCTAAGGCTGGGCATTCATAAGAAAAAATAAGCCTCCGTGTGTTTATTTGGGAGCCGGGTGGCAGCCTCCCAAAGAATAAAGAGCAAAGACTGAAAAAAAAAAAAACCCAACTACCAACAACCACACTGACTTCTTCTGGATAAAGGTCTGCTACTCATTCTGGCCATTCCTGGGCGAAGGCAGCAGGCAGCATGGCCAGGTCTCGGCAGCCTGGTCATCCCTGCAGCTTGCTTCCTGATGTGACACACGTCGCCATTTCTTCCTCAAGCCACTGTTTGCGCTGTTATTTTTCTTTTCCATCCTATTCACTCTGAGTCCTAGGGAGCCATTCTCAAGTGATGGGGCGCACTGCAGAGAAGCTGCTTCTCCTCTTCCACACCATTAAACTCCTGCTTGCGTCTTTCAATCAGAAATGGTTTGGCAAGTCACAGCACAGGAAAAAAAAACCCCAAAAAAAACAAAAAACAAAAAGCAGTATGAGTTTCTGCCTGGGAAGAGCCAGGCTTGAAAGAATGGGATTAACAAAAGGTTTCTGCTTCGTTTTCACAGGACAAAATGACTAATATCCTTGATGAGCGGCTGAATCAATCTGCCATGGCTCTTGAGCAATCAAGGGGCAGCTCAACCCTGGCATTGTCTCCTGAGGAAGGATTTCATCAGAGCGTGCCTGGTTCCCATGCAGGCAGCGAGAATTGGTGGGATCACCAAGTGGCAAACAGCTATCACCAAATTCTCAATGTCATTCGTCATCATCCACTGCCCTTCACGCAGATCCATTGACTTATCATCCCTGGGCAAGGACTCGAAGGCTGCCATCCTGAAACCAAAAGGTCAAGGCTTTCCAGGAAGTGGGAGGGTTCTGCTCATTAAGAGCTCACTGAGGCCGAGCATAGCTTGGAAAATTTAATTTGAACAAAATCAGTCCTGTACTCAATGAGAATTCCTGCCCCAGAGATAGGACAAGGGCCATCTGCCCCTCAAAGGTATTAAAATCCACAGTATAATAAAAAGTAGTAGAATTTTCTCATCTCAAACACAAGTATGGTAGATTTAGAACATGGAGACAATGGATTATGAGTGTACATTTTGACATCTTTTGTCTCCAAACATTAAAATTCAATGGACCTAATATAGTAGTAAAAATTCCACTCACAAGGGACAAGAAGTGTGACATCAGTAAGATGATATAGAAATGCAGTTTGTTCCGTTAGTGGCCAGCAGTGGGAACCAAACGCGTTAGTGATTTAGAATCCATTCCCTGTGTGTTTATATGTGTACTTTGTAGTAAAAAATGCACAAAAAACAGAAACACTTTTTCATTGGGGTAAGTAATTTTACTTGAGTGTCTTTCTATAGTTGTAAGTCACACACACACACGCATGCACAAACTCACAAACACAAACAGCATATTTGCTCTGCTTGACTATACAGACTGCAATAAAATCCATCTTCGCTGCTTCTGAATTCAGCTCACATAGCCCTCGCATAGGCTCCAAGGAGGTTCAAGCTGCTCTGAAATAGTCATCATGATCCATTACACTCAGCTCCTTGCAGCTTTTGTTCCCAGTTGTCTGTGATACTATGATGTGGAAGAAAATTTAAAATAGATCTTGACCTTGTACAGGATGGGGTTAGAATTGCACTCGTTCAAAATATACTTAGAATTACCGTCAGAATATAACTGAATAATCCAGGGCAAAAGTAATATTTTTAAAATGGATATATTAAATTAATATTACTTCTTTATTGAAAGAGGTACCTTAGAAGAAAAAAAATGCTTTTTGGGATTCTGGGTTGGTTTGCAGGGGAAAGTAGAAAACTCAAGCTGATAATTTAAGGACTATAGGCTTACTGAAAAAATATATATCCCGGGAGCAAAACAATTTTGCTTAAGTGTACAGTTAAAACTTGTTTTAGCATTTGATGAGGTGGTTCACACATGTAATCTTATGTGAAACCAGGAGGCTGAAACAGCAGAATCTCCATAAATTTCAGGCAATCTTGGGCTACTCTGTCTAAAAATATCTACCCTAAAATTACTTTAAATTTTAATTTTGTAATGTTTATGGTATATATGTGTGTATATGTTCATGCATGTATGTCAGTGCACGTGTGTGTGTGTGTGTGTGTGTGTGTGTGTGTGTGTGTGTGCACATGCCTAGGGAAGCCACAACTCAAAGTCAAATGTCTTCCTCAGTTGGCTTTCCACTTATTTTTTGAAACAGAACATAACTGAATCTGGAGGTGACTAATTTGTTTAGACTGGATAGCCAACATAGCCATCAAAGCCTAGGGAGCTTCTTGTCTCTGCCTCGCAGCACTGGGAGTACAGGTTGAGCTGCCAGGCCTGGCTTTACATGGTTCTGGGGACTGAATTCAGGTCCTTATGCCTATACAGTAAGTGCTTCACCAACTGAGCCCTCTCCCTGGTCTCTCAGATTTACTTATTAGAAACTGCATCCATTCATTTAGGCTCTCTATTTTGACTCACTTTCATTTCTAAACAATGAGAAAGATGCCACATGTTATTTCAGATGTTTAGAATGGAACCATTCTCTTGTTGGAGATTGTAAAATCATAGGTAAAGATTTACTTTGTCAACAGACCAAAGAAAAGATAACACATAATCCATATTCAGAATCCCCCACTTAATTATAAAAGACAAAGCAGGACTTGGTATGGCACTTAGTTTATAGACTACTTGTCTGACATGAGAAGGCTCATGTGAGGCACGAGGATCAGCACCTGAAAGCCATTTCCCACTGAGTCTGAGGCCAGCCTGGGCTATATGAGGCTCTGTCTCCCTTTCCAATTTGTATCCCCTTGATCTCCTTTTGTTGTCTTATTGCTCTAGCCAGAACTTCGAGTTCTATATTGAACAGATATGAAGACAGTGGACAGCCTTGTCTTGTTCTGATTTTAGTGGGGTCACTTTGAGTTTCTCTCCATTTAGTTTGATGTTGGCTGTTGGCTGCTGTATATTGCCTTTATTATGTTTAGGAATGTTCTTTACTCATTGCTTGTTTTCGAGACAGGAGAGATGGTGTAAGCCAGTAAGAGAGCTTAGCATGTAAAGTAAGGAACCCGAGTTAAGATATCTAGTACCAAATAAAAGCTGGACTTGGGAACTAGCTTGTCTGTAACTCCAGCACTCATTGTGGGTGGGGAGCAGAACTGAGGTAGGCAGATGTCCTGAATGTCTGGCTACCTAGTCTAGCCAAATCTGTGAGCTCCAAGATCAATGAGATATCCAGTCTCAAAAAATAAGGTAAAGACATTGGAAGACACTGGACATTGACTTCTGGCCTCCACATGTGCATGTGTGACAGAGAGACAGACAGAGAGACAGACAGACAGACAGACACACACACACACACACACACAGAGAGAGAGAGAGAGAGAGAGAGAGAGAGAGAGAGAGAGAGAGAGAGAGAAGCATATAGTAGATCAAACTGAATGTGGTTTGATGGTTTGATTCAGGATAGAGTGGTGGGAAACAGCTCCATCTATTGATGTTTTTGCTGGCTTTCTGTCATCTCCAAAGATGCACTATGTAACTCCTAAGACATCTTAGCGCAGAATAAATAGAAATCCAAAGAGCGCTGATGACTTGCCTAGGACCATGAAGTCACTTAGTACAGCGCCAGAGCTTCTTAGGCACTACTTACAAGCTCACTATCTCCTTCCCTTTCCCATCAGATAGCTGGTTTATCTGAAGCTCTCTAGGACCCTCTGGTATCTCCTTTTATGCTCCCCCACTTGCAGAATATAGTCTACTTTGCACTGTTTATAACTGGCTTCTGAGACCCTATTCGCAATTAAGTCAAACATTCTTTATAGGTTCATTTAAAGTTCCTTGTAAGCTTAACCCTGTTTATCAATTCAAAGCTGATGTGTCAGTGATCCCTACAGCATCTATAAGCTCCTCAAATACCACAGCTCTTTCTAATCTGTCTCTCAAGGTTCAAGTCAGGATTACTGAAGTCTGTTCTGACATTACTGATTTGTGGTCACTAATTTTAATTTTTGAAGGATTATTTTTTTGCCTTGTTTTTTTATTGATTTTATTGAGGTATATGTCTGTGCTCTCCTCCCTGCCTCTCCCCTCCCCTTCAACTCTCTCCCATGGTCCTCATGGGCCCAGTTTACTCAGGAGATCTTGTCCTTTTCTACTTCCCATGAAGATTAGATCCATGTATGTCTCGCTTAGGGTCCTCATTTCTTTTTTTATCCAGTTTATTTAGTTTGCTGTAAGCTTTTTGTATCTTCATAGGCATATCTTTCTTTAGGTTAGGAAAGTTTTCTTTGATGATTTTATTGTGTTTGTTGCCTGAGAGTCTATACAGCAAAAGGGTGTATTTCTCAATAATTTAGTCCTTACTACTAATTTATGAAAGTGTATCTATAGGGCATTTCATTCTAGGGGTAGTTAAATACATGATAGCATAGGTACAGTATGCGATACCGATTCCTTCATGAAATGTGTATACACGGAGGAAGCCTTGCTATCCATATACAAGATGCCAATCTGCTGTGTCGCCCTGGCTGGCTGAGAACTCACTGTGTAGTCCATGCTACTAGCCCATGGACTAGTAGAGATCCATCTGTGTCTGTGATTTCTGGGGTTATAGAAGGATGACAGAACCCGTGACCAAATGAGTTGGGCTTAAGTGTGAAGAGTTGGAAATTGCTTTTTTATTCACAAGGAATAATTAATTTTGCATGGTGCACTTTAAAAGGGTACTTTAAAAACACTGAATAGCCTTAATAAACTACAAAAATCAGTAACAAGAACAAATAACATCAAAATAACAAAGCTAAAACAAAAACTATCAAAACCAAAATCATGAAACAATCAGCAAATTATGTTTAAGCTAATTAGCATTCATCATGGCAGATTGAGTAGCACAGATCTACTATAGGCCGTGGTTGCCTAGGAGATATGGTAGCAAGGCAATCACCCATTGAAGAAACATTTTCAAGACACCTGTAGCCATTCTTCTTAGGGACTTTACATGCCATGTTCTCTCCAAGGCTGAGGCCATTTGCTCGTAAGTGTAGACTTTTGAGAAATTTTTTCTGTAAGATTTTCTGCTTCTTAACCTATTTTGATGCTTTCTTTTCTTCACAAGAACTGAGTCCACAGATACATGGATCACGTTGGGTATGGTCACCTGGAGGTCAGCTGGTGTTTCCCTCACTGGTGAGTTCATAACTGCAAGGGGTGGCTTTTTGTCTGGAGGCGTTGATCCTGATGTGCAGAATGTCATGGGTGCAAGGTCTGTGTGGCTTTCTTTGGCCTCTTGAGTTCTTTAAAGGAGTGTTATCAAGGATGAAAGTGAATCAAGACCCAGAAGCAGCCATGCTGGGCTACTGGCTAGTCGTCATCAGGGCCTATTCCAAATGGGAACCAAAACTTGAGGAAGCACCTGCATCCCCAGAGTGCAGTAGTTGCTGGGGATGGGGCTCAGCAGGTGGCTCTTGCTCTAGCAGCTCCGTCTGCAGGTGGCTCTCATCCTGGGCTGGGGCCTGTTCTAGATCAGTTTGAAGACTTGTCAACCTGAAAGAGGAAAGTAGTTAAGACCCAGGCCATGTGGGGAGCTTCTATGTTGATGTCAAGGAGCTCCATCCCCCACCTCACCCGTGCCTGATAGTCAGTGTTCATCTGTTGACTGACGTCAGTGTTGCTAGCTGCAGGTAATCAGTTCCCCAGAGTAGCTGGGAATAGAACATTTCTTAGTCCTAAACACAGGTCATAATTTAAAATAAGCACTGTATGTTGTCCATTCTACTAGAAAGATTAGGGCCTTCTTCTATATATAGTTATAAATATCTACATCATGTTAATAGCATAGTCAACACCATATGAGCAATCCACATGGTTTGCATGATGAGTTATGGACTGATTTCATCATTTTATAGATAGACATGAAAGAGATGTGAAGCCTGGGTCCCTGAACAATGTCATGAGCCTACCTCAGTCCTCATGCCCAGGAGGCACCCTGAACATGAACCTGTCATGCTAGTGGAGCATTTCCTGAGATGTGTGCCCGAGAACACTGGCTCATCCAGTATCCAGGGACACTCGGAATTTGTGATTTCCTCAGGACTAGAGCTGGGAATCTGCATGCTGTTTCTCTTTGGGAGTCTGTTACAGCACACCTCGGAGGAGGTTCTGATCTTCCCTGCAGCTGAGAAACCTGCCAGTGTTCATTCTGGAAAGTCCTTAATCTTTTCTCTCCATAGAACACTTTACACAGGAAGTGGGCAAATGTTGAAGAAAGCATTGTCCAGCGGTGGGAATCTCTTATCTACATGATATTTTAGTAAATATAATTGCAATTTTAACCAGGCCCCATGGTGCAAACCTTTATATCCCCTATCTCTGAAGCTGAAGCAGGAATCTCTCTGTGAATTTTAGGAAAGTCTGCTGGGACTAACACTTCAGAATTCTGAAGGGAGAAAGGAAGACTCAATTCTCCAGACTCACTGCATGTCAAAAGTGTTATTTACTAGAAAGATCTTGTTGACAGGACGAGCAAAATTATCTGTGGCCTTTGTTCCTTGTTTCTTGCTAGGAGACACAGAGGTGAGCAGGGCCCACTAATGACAGAGCTTCCAGACACAGGGGCCCACTTGGCTCTATCTCCTCCTCCCACTCTGTTCTCCTACCTCATCTGGGAGTCCTCAAAGTGGTGCTGCAGCTTTTCTTCCACGTCCTTTTCAGGGGTGAACACCTCCTTCTGCTTCAGCAGGAACTGAAGTCTTTCCTCCAATCTCTTGAGATCCTGTTTATTAGAAGATTGTGTTCTTAGTGGAGGACTACAGACTGTCATACTAATCTAAGTGCACATAAAGGGCCCAAATAGCTTGCTGGTCAGCCAGTAAGGAAAACAAAAACCTATGGGAAAGTAAGAACCCATGATTCAAGCTAAAGACTGACCAGAAAAACAGGAACATTTGTACATGGACACTAAAATGAACACCCAGAGAGCCCTTGTTTGGTGGCTTAATCGGAGCACGGAAGAATCAGGTAATGGGTAAAAACATTCGTGTCAGAATGGGCAGAGAGGCAGTCAAATGGACAAATGGTGGTAGGCCTCAGCCTGACTTCCTTGCCTGCCCCTACCTGTTGTTGCTGGGATTTGAGGTCACTGGTGTCTTCTTCTTTGTCCTTACAGATCACTTTCCAGTCCTCCAAGTGGGGCCTCAGCAGGTCCCAGTCCTCCAACAGCTTCCTTTTCTCCTGCCTCAGCATGGCCACCATCTTCTCCAGCTGAGTCTCTTGCATCAGGAGCCGGCTCTGCAGACCACTGGAAACACACTCTGCATACTCAGGCCCTGCCAGCCTCCCCCTGTGACCCCAGGGTCCAGGAACAAGCACCCCAAAAGGCCTTATGCTTCCTAGAAGACTTAGCCTGGATTCTGATACAGCCATGACAGCTGAACTTAAAAAGTGAAATGAGAGAATAGATGATACTGGAAATTATCAAACTACTATGGAAAGACACGACACTAAAAAGGATCCATGTCCATTCAATAGGAAGAAGAGGCCAGCAGCTGTCCTTAACTCTCCGTGGTATTGGAGAAACATCAGCAAGTGGTGGGCAAACACCCTCCGAGGGAAGACAGGCGACCCAAGGTGAGTGTGTTCTATCTATAGGTTCTACAGCAACCGTATCTGTAAAACCTGGTTTTGAGCTCCAGATGCTCAGGGCTGCTGGACGTTCCCTTCACACTGAAAATCCCTTTTTTACATAGAGCCTCACGAGGCTCTCAGACAAGGTTTAGTGTTAACTGTGTCTTTCACACTTAGAAAAACTGAGTCAAAGATATACAAGTCTAAGAGCTGCTGACTAAGAATCAGAAAGGCTAGAACCACAGTTGGGTATTCTCCTTCTAGAGAAAAAGAAAGGCAGAGATGTTCATTACAAAACTTTTGTGTTCATGAAACATGGGCACTTACAGGTAGAAGACCGTCTCCTCTGTCAGCTCACTGAACTTCTGTGAGGCCATGGTGTTCTCCTCCTCCAATCTCTTCAGTTGCAACATGACCTCATTATGTTCTGACTTCAGCTTCTCATAGAATGGGTTTGGCTTGTGGTAAGGCCTAAAAACAGGAAAAAAGACCCCCATTAACACAGTCTTCAAGTTTGACGGGAATGCTAGTTGTTTCCTGGTTCTCCATAGCCATGTGGATGTCAGAGTTGGCTTCCTGTGGCCTGGGACCACCCATTGCTTTTCAGTTGGTATGCTGTCCCCAGGACAGCTGAGACTCAGGTTCAGATGGAGGGGTCCCTGGCTGCATGTGCTGACTCAGTAGGCCTAGAAGTTCAGTGTTGCTCTCTCCGTTACCAGGAGTTTATGACACAGGTCTTGGCACACCACACAGTGTAGTGACCTTTCTCCAATTACAGTGTTTCTTCCTGGGTGAAAACTGTTGAACACTTAGAGCACGTAATTCTGGGTTTTAGACCCAAGAGCAGGATAGTGGTAAAACTCCTCCAAGGGATTCCTAGGTGCCATCAAGGTGAGAACATAGGTCAAGAACTTTGCTGCATAAAGTGAGGCTTCCAGATCTCCAGGGACGGGTCCTGATCTCACTGTAGGAGCTTTACAAAGTGAACAATTACACAACTGTCACATACAAGCAGAGGGCCTAGGTCAGTCCCATTGAGGCTCCCTAACTGCTGGTTCCGTGCCCATGAACTCCCATGCGCTCAGGTCAGAGGTCACTGTGGAAACCACGACCCTAAAGAAACCAGGCAAGTGTGACATGGCCGTCACTCCCATGCAGTCTGACCCGATGGATACCTATTTTGCATGGTGCCTTCTGTGATGAAGACGATGCGTTCTCGCAGCTCATTTCTTTGGCTGGTCATCAGCTGCAGCTCCGTGGTCAGCTTCTCCATTTTCTCCTTCACTGGTGTCTTTGTGGGGAGCACTGGGTGGGACGATGGCTCTGCTGCAGTATCTGTGGGAATAGAACACAAGTGAATTTGCATAGTGATAAGGCATAGAGGATGGACAGACCACAATGAGGCCAAACAGAAAGATGATGTCTGGAAGCCATTGCCAACAATAATATTTTGGGCCTGGTTGAGAGATGCCCCCTCTGTGCATCTCAGCTCACCCATCACTCTAGCCATGTGGCTACATAAACAGCCTGGAGTTTCCTTTGCCTCCCTGCACAGGATTCAGGAGGAGACACCAGTCACCTCTCAGGCTTCTTCAGAGCAGAACAGGATCCAGAGCCCCGAAGCCGACATGTTGTGAGGAGCCCAGTTGTCCTGCCTGCCTGCTCCAGGCCCATGACTGTGGATTGAAGAGTCACACAGGGGCACAACATGGCCAGCAGACTCACCAAGTCACCCCACTGACAGCCCAGAACACTGAAGATGACAGGAAGCAGTCTCTGCCCTGAAACCATGCCTCTGACATTTGTTGGGCTACACTAGAGAACTGCCTGTCACCATCAACTGCTGATTCAGAACCCTAAGGTGGCCGTGGTCAGGGAGAGGCGGTCAGAGGAGTTCTGCTGTACAGTCTGTGGACACAAGGTCTTGGCCACAAGCACTTTTCTCTCCGTGTGACTAGTGTCCGACAGCGACTGAACCTAAAGGAAGCTACTGAGGGTGAGGTGCACTGATGTGTGCCCTAAGATGGGGACATTAATCCCTCCCTTCGTCCTGATGGTCTCCTTCTGCCATCACCTTACAGCTTTAGTCCACAGTAAAGGTCACAGCGAAGTGGTGCTCTCAGCCCAATAGCCTTGGCCTGGTCATTCTCTGGCTTAGAAAATGAACAAACTAATGTTCTGGAAATCCTTGGCTTTCACGAGTTACGATCAGCAGGGAAGTCCATTTGTTTCTCAGAGGCACCAGCTCAGGTGCCCCATTACTGACAGGCCCAGTTCAAGCCCCCCTCCACCACAAGCTCCCTCTCCCCTGGCCAGGACTCACTCTGCCTTCGCCAGAGCCATTTACTTGTTCGTGTTTTTCTCTGACACTGAACGGCAGCTTCCTTCTGCCTCTCTCTGGTCTTTGGATGTCTTCCACTCTCTCTCCCAAACAGACTCCTCAGTCTTGACAACATGGCTAATGGTGGCCCCGATAGGCACTGAAGGAATGCCTTAAGGGCAGTTGGTGTTGCTACAACACTGGCGACATCATCAGGATTCCAAGAGGTCTCCAGGATACAGTAGAATGTCCAGGAAGGGACTGCTGGTGTCATGGCTGACTGCCTTTTCCACCCTGCTAATTAGCTTTCCTGAAGTGACCACAAGTCCAGGTTCTCTTTCTAGGAGTCTCCCTGGGAACACAGAGCAAGCCTTTCAACGCCTCTTCCTACCAAAACCAGAGTTCTTAGCATCACTGGAAGGCCACTAGTACTTCCCGTGTTGAGAACTGGTTTGTTCTTTCTAAAGATTGCACAGGCATGTCTCATTCCTTCCTCAGAATCTCTCTATTTTCAATATGAACAAATTAATATTACTGCAAAACCACGTTATTCTGTAGGCTTGGTTACAGTGTTGAATTTGGGTTAAGGGGACAGACATGGAAGCCATGTGCTCAACTTTAGTATATTTCCCCAGCATACCTAAGCACATAGAGAATGCACCCATCCCTTTGCTGAGAAGTGTGTGGTGCCTCCTAGGCAGAGGAACCTGAAATAGTGGGTCCACCAGAGAAAGAGCCCCCAGCCTCTCTACTCTCCACCAGAGACATAGTGCAGGCTTAGTTATGGGCCTCTCTGAGTTACAATGAGATTCTTCATCATGTAGAAAAAAAATGCATCGTGGGAAAAGAAAGACAACAGCTGTAGACATACTTCCATTGGCAGACTGAGTGCCTAGCATGTAGCAAGGCCTGGGGTCAGTGACTAGTACTGTCCTTATTGTCCTTGTGGGCCCTACTTGAAGTCTCAGTTCTTGTGCAATGGCAGCACGTTGATCTAAGCTCAAGGTGAACCTGCAAAGCCAGTGTGAGGACAGCTTGGGAGACGAGTCTGTCTCAACAGATAAAATGGAAATAAACCCTACCTCCAAGGTCTCATTACTAACCCTATATTTTGTTGATCGTTTTCTTTGAGACAGGCTTCCTGAAACCCATACTCTCTAATTTACAATGCATTGCAGCATCCTGAGTGCTGCACTCACAGGAGTTTACTAATCCCCTGGAAGTCTTAGTCTTCTGGAATTTGGACAGAGATGTAAGAGGCATGTTGCACTTTTCACTGTACCCACCTAGGAAACTAACTGATGTCTAAATAGTGATATGAGTTCTAGAGGGCAAGAAACCCACATTGTGCCCGGGCACTGTGCTCACAATGCACAATATTCCTGAAGTCGGTTAGGGTTAGGATTAGGGTCAGGGTCAGGTTCAGGTTCAGGGTCAGCATTATGGTCAGTGTCAGTCTTAGGGTTAGGGCTGTAGGATCAGAGGGATCAAAGACTTCACAAGAAATCTCATGGACTCAATTAACTTTGGCTTATGGGAGCTCACAGAGTCTGGACTGACAGTGACAACTAGGGAGCATCTATGGGACTGTCTTAGTTCCTCTGCACATGTGTGACATTGTGTAGCTTCTTCTTGTGGGACTCCTTACAGTGAGAACAGGGGCTGTTTTTTGTTTTAAGCTTTTTTTTTGGTGAACTAAGGAATTTTATTGATATACATATAAGAGTATGAATGAGAGGTTACTTAGAGAAGCAGAAATCCACATGAGTGATAATTCACCAAATCTGCAAACTTAGAGCATGATGCATATTCTTCAGACGTTCAAGCTGCTCTCTGGGTTGAAGAGTGTTCCTTGAAGGTGGCTCACTTGATCTATACCCACTCTAAGTAGGCATCAGGACCTCCCGAAGGCACAGCACAATGTTTTAATTTATTCACTGGCATTATATTTTTCTTTCCTACTTTTTTTTTTCGTGGAAGACCTGTGTTCTCTTCTTCTTGCCCAGGCAGTTGACCCCAGGAAGGCATGTGGGTCTTGTTCTGCCGTGTCCTAGTCTAAGATTACAAATATGCTCTATTTTGCTGTTGCTACTACAGCTGTTTGAGACAAGGTCTCACATAGCCCAGGCTGGTCTTGAACTCACAGTGTAGCTGAGGATGACCTTAAACATTTGTTCCTCTTGCCGCTACTTCCCAAGTCATGGGATTGCAGCATACTCCCTAACCACATTCTTCAGGTGGCAAATGGCTTTGTAATATGAGTACTCTATAGAGAGAACAGAAGATAATTTAATCTTTCCTCTATAACTTACCTTTCATTATAATTTTTGTGACTTAGAAAAAAGTTTCTTTATATTGTTGCCAGTCAGTAAAATCATGTAGTATTTAAAATTGCTGTTAAGATTTGAAAAAGCTTCATCAGATTTATGCATATCCGAACAATAAGATTTCACGGCACTCTAAGTGTTCTCGGGCAGTGACTAATTGTGACTGTCCTGAGCTGGCCAGCTCCTTGTCAAGTGTCCACACCATCCTGGCACTCTCCGGGCTCTGTGTTATCTGACAATGGGGATTCCATTTTGAGACAACATGATGACAAGCAAGTCTTTCCCTTGCTCCTCTACAGGGCTGCGGTTGAGGCCGTCTCCCCCAGACCAGCTTTCATTCACTCCCCACCCAATGCCTGGCTGAGCACCATAGTGACATTCACTTCTGAATGTGACAATCTTGTCAGAACACTAGATTGACACATGGGTGTCAGGAGCACTCCAGGAAACAATCTCCACAATGAGATAACAGTCCATACCTTGTCTACACAGCAAGCGACAGAATTTAGGTAAGTGTAGCCTTCTAATCCAGATGAGCATATTCCCAACTCACCAAGCTTAACTGTATCCCTCAGTGTCAATCATTGCTATAATACCATGTGTTGTGCTGAGAAGCATGGAGGGGCAGATGCTGAGCGCAAGTGAGACAGCACTCTCAGACAATTTCAAAGAAGTATCTTATTGTACAGATTTTACAAATTCACTGCAAGAGTAGGTTAGTGTGTCAGGCTGTGCTCCTGGGAAGCAATCCCGAGAGAGAGGGTAGCATGGGGAATGTTCATTAGGAAGCATCCTCGGGCAGTTCCTGTGGCTGACATTACAGGTAAACAACACTAGGTACAAAGAGCTTGAATATCCTTTCCTGGCCTCGTGGGAGAACTCTGGGATAAGAAGGGCTCTTCCATGCTATCCATCACTTCATGGTATTAATCTTTCAAATAGGTAAAGCATAAATATGATAGAAAATCCAAAATTTCATTAATATTCCGAGAAAAGTTTACTTTTCCTTCCTGAACTCCCACCTCGATGCCCCTGCTCCTGAGTTAGCTGTGCCTTGTTCATACTTCTGGAGAGAAGGGTAGACATAAAATCATATTATATCGCTTCTTCCATTTTATACAAATTGTGGTATACTGTGCACAAGGTCAGAATCTTGCCTTTTTAAAAAAATCTTTTTAAAGCTAATTTTACATTATAGAAATGAGAGTTACAAAAATAGTAAGACTTATCATATATTTTTTCCTCTTTTTCCCCTTCTGCTGGAATCTTACAAATTATAATAGCTAAACAATAGATGAACTAACCGAACCTATCATCACCCGATGAAAGGAGCGGGGCCTGCGGGAAGCGAAGACACGATTAAGCAAGGCCTCCCGGAAAAGATGTCCACATTTCCATTCTGTCCATTAAAAAATGGAACAAACAAGTGTGTTAGCATCCCCAAAAGACATTTAGTAGTTGCATAAAGCAGCTCTTGTTGGCAAACTACTGTGGAAAATGTTTCTGAGGCCCTAGTTAAATAAGCAGCCCCTTTGCAGTGCTCTGTGGAACATATCTGACTGTGGCCGTGTACTACTACATCATGCTTCAGTCCATGACGTGTGTACGATGGTGGTCCTACGAGATTCTGATGGAGCGGAAAGATCTCCATGGCCTAGTGATACGGTAGAGATGCCGTACAGTACCACACTCCACTTACATGGTAACCATGACAACACATCTACTGTGTCGCCTCAGCACAATCCCAAGGATTCCTCAGAAATACTGTGAGATCATACAAAGGCTTTGGCTTCTCAGTGCACACAGCAATACTGTGTTATTAGTATGCAATAGCACTGTCTAAAATGCACGTGACTTAAAAGATGTTAAATACTAAAAAAAGTTAAAAATACACGAGCCTTTAGCAAGTCCTACATTTTTTTCTTTTTAGCTAGTGGGGGTACTGCCTTGATTGTCCATGTCTACTGACTAACGGGGTGGTTGTTGAAGATTGGGGCATCTGGGAAAGTTTCTTAAAATAAGACAACAATGCAATTGCTTTTATTTCCCTTTGGATTTTGCTTTTGCACAATCTCATCTCAGGAGCATGCACTTTGTTCTCATGGCATTGCTGACTTTCCTACGTTTTCCTTGTCCATGTCACACGATTTCTCTTCTGAAAGGCTATATGATATGATATTCTTTCCCCAAACCACAGATTTCCCTAGAGGACTTTTTTTTTTACATGCTTCAAATTGAGCTGTCATCTAGTTCACTGATCCAGCAAGAGTGGTGATAATGCATTTATATAAATAATACAGGAGGATTTCGCCTGACAAAATAAAAAGTGCCTGTAAACAGACCATGTGATAAAAGCCAATTACCAAACGGGTAGTCTGATTATTATATATTATTATTATATATTTCCTAGCCAGACTCCTGTCAAGTAGCTGCATTTTCGGTTGCTGTGAAATCTGAGAAATGTGTAGATATTTAATAGTCTCTATGAAATGGCAGTTGTATTAGCCATCTGTACTAAATGCTTAGCTTAGCTTCTTTTTTTATTTCATTTTCTCCTAAGCTCCCCAAGGTCCAGTAAGCTTGTCATTCTTTATTTTTTAATAGTTTTATGGGGGAAGAACTTGTAAAAATGGAAGAGATTTTCTTTGTAGCCTATACTCAGCGCCCTCAGATGAAAATACCTTACAAGTGCGCTGCAAATTGTGCCAGCCTAGAAATCAATGCTAATTTACACCACCACCAATCGGATATGGACTGTATTTACATTTCACTACTTTTTGTGTGACTCCTTCCTTTTTTTTTTGACATATGATATTTTAGCGCATGTTTAGACTGGATTAATCATGATCGCAATTGGGATATTAGACCATCCTGTGATGACAAATGGAAGTCCACATGGTGCCCCTCCCTGTCCCCCTTTCCACAGTAAGAGACAGAGGCACACCTTGCAGAGCAGTCAGGGTTACACAGGATAACCGCACCAGACGCTGCTGAAGGATGGAGAGCCTGGCATGCTCATACACCACTGAGGGAGTGGAAAGTGAAAAAGATGCAGAGAACAGGTTAGAAGGCTCTTAAGATGGTAAATGAGTGTGCACCATGTGATCTAGTCATTCCCATTCAGGTATTTACTCAGGTGGAATCAGAGTGTCTCTGTATGACAGGAAAACTAATGTTCGTAGCTATTGTAAGTGTAATGTCTGAATCCTAGAAACAACCTAAATTGCTATCAACAATTGTGATGGACCCATGTGATGAAATAGTACTCAGTAATTAAAAAAGGAAGTGTGTGTGTGTGTGTGTGTGTGTGTGTGTGTGTGTGTGTGACAATATGGAGCCAACCAGACAAAAACGAGTATACATTGTATCATTGCTTTTGTCCAGTACTCCCACAGAAATAAAAACGAATTCAAATGATAGAAAACAGAATAGTTGCTGTCAGTACTAGTGGAGGAAGGGAGTATATCCGAACCATCAGAATAAGGGACACATGGAATATTTGGTGATGTTGACCATGTTCACTATCCTAATTGTGCTCGTAGGTTTAGGGTGTCATACACGTTAAAAATTCTCAAACTGTGCACTTTAAATATGTCCAATGTTTTTGTTATTTGGCTTTTGTGGCCCTGGAGATGGAACCTAGGGCCTCATACATACTAGGCCAGTGTTCTGTCAGTGAACTATATCCCTCTCCTTCTTTTGGTTTGATTTTTAATTTTGAGACAAGGTCTAACTAATTTGCATAGACTGAACTTGAACTCAACACGTAGTCCAGGTTGGCCTTGAACTTGTTTTTTCCTATCTCAGCCTTCTGAGGGTAGTCAGGCTCACCTTCAAGAGTCCTTTGCTCTTTCCAGTGAAGGAGGTATACTCACTGTCTGTGGGCTCTGGAATTTTATCAGCATCTAGACTCCTGTTAGACTGGCTGGTTTCAATGTCTTTGGTGCCATATTCTTGGGCATAGACTTGGTGTCACGAAAATACTCTAGGGAGCTATGGTGTGCTACTAGCAGTAGGTATTTTTGTACTTCACACAAGACTACGCTCTACTTTGGAGACCATGGGATCAAATTACATTTTGCCAATTACATAGGGAATTGATTCTGGAAGTCTGGGATAATGATGTTATATTTCTGATTGATTCCAGGATGTTTTAAATGGCCATTATGGCTGGCTGTTGCTTGGTAGCCTACCCCTTAATTCAGTTTTGGGATAGCCAAGTCCTAACAATGTGAGCAGACTTGCATTCAGAGAATCAGAGTAGAATGGGATGGTGAATCAGAGGGTTTCTGCACTGAAATCTTACCATGCACTGTGTGTGTGTGTGCCTGGGCTCTCTGCATGTTTGCTATCTTTCATTTTCTCACAACACAAACAAGGAGTGAATGTGGGGTGAGGAAGAGCATGGTGCCCTCTAGAGCACACCAAAGCCTTCATTGTCAAAGCCCCTCTCCACTCTTTTGAGTCTTCTTTAACCCACCTTGAAGGGCAATAGCATCTCATTACTGATTGGTTGACTTGTAACTAGGTTTTATTTGTGGGTGAGATTCAGGTAGACTAGCGGGTCAGCTTTTCTAATATATATATATATATATATATATATATATATATATATATATATATATATACCCATTAAGAGTATGCCCAACGACAACAATCAAAACCATAAAATAATAACGTTGGGTTTATCTTTCCACCCCACACCCTTCTTTGGGTGTTTGACAGGCAAACTAATAGCTCACGTCTGCATTCCATTGTGATTTATAGTAGCAGCATAGCTTCTGATCTGGGAAAGGCAGATACTGATTTATGACCTGAATAAAAATGGTCAAAACTTTGATATGCCATCAACAGTTATAGCAAATGAATCATTGTGAGATGGACCAGGAATTCAGATGTGTTTAATTAGATGCTGGCTATCTAGAAATTAATGGTAACTGATAGACAACAAAAGAGGGAGGAGGCCAGTGCCTCAGTTTACTCTTGACTCTAATGGATATGACATCTTTTAGTCAAGACAATAGAATTGCAGAGGCTGACACTCTGAGCAGGTATTTCATGGCAGAGCAGACTTGAAATGTTTCAAGGATGTAGTTAAAGAAAAATGACCTAGAGTAAGGATATAGGTCTTCAATCTCAGGATTCAGAGACTGATGCAGGAGGACTGCATATTCAAGGCCAGCCTGGACACAGCAAGAACCCATATGGAAATAAAGAAATTCAGGCTCAGAAAGGTTGAGTATGCATCAAATTATTATTTATCAAATAACATAAAAGACTCTTATTTCCTAAAGTTTCCAAAATTTCTTCTGTGAGTAGGTTTGATATTATAATTCGTGAATATAATAAATGTCACTTAGGAAAGAAAATGGATCCAAGCCTTATCAGTGAACACTGAACATGGGTGCACTCTGTACTGCGGAGGATAATCAGAAGCACAGAGTCCACAATTATTTGCTTTCCTAGCTCTACAGGCTCAGTTTTACACTGGCTTGATGCCCTTCCCTATTTTCTCCCTGTAGTTTCCTCTTTCCCACATGCCCAGTGCTTTGCTGGTATGGGGATACATGGCTTATGACTGAGGTAGGTTGAGTAATAACCTCTAAAGATGTCCCAGTCCCAACTCCTGAAGCCTGTACATGGGACTAAGATCTTGCACGTGTGGTTAAGATCCTGAAATGGGGATGATAATCTTTGATTTTCATGGTCAGGCCTAAACATAGTCTCAAGCACTATTCTGAGAAGATGGCAGATGGCGAGGGTAGCAGCTTGTGGTAAAGCACCCAGTTAACAGGCATAGATGCCTAGTTTTCGTCCCCATTGCCACAGAATGAGTGAATGAAGGGGAATGAGAGAGAGAGAGAGAGAGAGAGAGAGAGAGAGAGAGAGAGAAAGAGAAAGAGAGAGAGAAATTTAACCATGGAAGAACACATCATGAAGACAGAATACCATGCTTGATAGACCCAAGAAGCCAGACACCAAGGAACCACAGCTCCAGAGACTGGAAAAGGCAAGGAAATCCATTTATCCTAGAGCCTCTGAAGGGACGACAGCCCTCCCAATGTCCTGATCTCTGTTCATTGGAATTGGTTTTGATTTTCTCACCACCAGTACTGTAAACTATAAGAAAATAAATGCATGTTGCTTTAAGGCATGAAGTGCCACAGCAGATGTTCAGAACTAGAGCTGTCAACCCATAAGTCCCACATCCCTGCTAATAGTCGTTAAGGAAAACTGTGTAGGGTGTGTCCAGACGTTTTTCTTGTCACTGTCCTATAAGCAGTGTGTTTTAACAACTTTTACACTACATTATGTGCTACCAACAATCTAGAGCTTCTTGAAATATACAGGGGGACGTGTGTAGGTCAGACATAAGTGCCAAACCATTTTAGATAAGAACACTCATGAGTTTTGGTGTCTGGAATCAATACTCCAAGGATACCAAGAGACACCTCTACACTGGTCATATCTTGAATACACATCACTGGGAATTGTTTTTTCTGTTGTAATGCAGGTGATAGCATCCTGGACTTTACAAATTCCAGGCAAGTGCTGTGCCACTGGGTTCCATGCCCAGCCCAGTGGCAGGCTGCAGGAGCCAACCTCCTCTCCAGAGCAGTAGGAGCAGCTGTAACACAAGCCAGCCATTCCTTTGCCAGCAAGGACCAAATTTCATAGAACCATCAACACTTCTAACTGCTTGGGATGGAATAAGAGAGCTGGAAGACACTGAGAACTTCACCTTGCCCCTAGGCTGGGCCCCTAGCATCTCATGCCTCTTTGTGTGTTCATGTAGTCTTGCTGAAGTGTTTTCCTGCAAGGTTTAAAGACTATGTGACAGCCCATTCTGTTAAGAAGGCTAAGTTTGCATCATAGAGCGGCTCTTGGGCAACCTTTTCTAGAACTCCTCAGGTCTAGTTTCTTATCAAACTTGTTTACTTCTCTATGTGAGATGTAAATTTGAAGACTGATTTCCCCAGGACCTGCTATTTGTACTCTCAGAGTCTCTATTTGAGAAAATTATTAATTAATTATTATTTTGAAACTTTAAAATTTGATTTTTGAGAACTGGCTGATCATATTCAGCACACCCCCAAGCTCTCGTAGGACCTACCATTGAGTCCAACTTGGAAATAATGGCCTTTGCAGGAGCATGGTCAACTCACCAGGGCTATACTACTAAAGAAACCCGACTCTCTCCTTCCCATCTGCTATCAATTTCCAATAGCCCCTCAGTTGGGGGCATGACCTTGTGCCTTCTCTCCCTCCATGTTGTTTTTCTGGATTGAGCTTGCACAGGTCGTGTGCATGCTTTCACAGCTGCTGTGAGTTTATTTGTGCAGCTGCCTTTCTGTGTCTGAAAAACAGTGTCCTTGCAGTTGTCTATCATCTTGGCTCTAAAATCTTTCTACTCCTTCTTCTGCAGTCGTCTCTAAACAGTGATAGAGATGTCCCACTGGGCCGAACATTCCACAGTCTTTTATTCTCTATGTCTTGATCAGCTGTGGGTCCTTATATCATTGCTGTCTACTGCAAAGAGAAACATCTCTGATGCGGGATGAGGGAGAGATGCATTAGTACATGAGCATAATGATGAGTCATTAGCGATCAGTGTAACACTGCGGTCATTTGGAAGAAAAAGAGCAGCAGGGCTTATCACCTATGTAGCTGCAGGTTCTCATCCCAGTGATGGTGCCATGGATGGGTTTCATCTTGTGCAATAGACCTTAAATCCAACCAGAAAGCAGCTGGTTACATGCCATCCATGTCTTACTGCACAGATGGGCACACCTCGCCATATTGGTTGTCACTGCAGCTCTCAGAGGTCATGGATGGGTAAGGCTGGTGATACTCTAGTCATCAGTATTCTTCCCCAATAGGGTGGAACTCAGTCCCCGAATGCCCCTAAATTCAGAACCCCAAAGGCTATTACCAAGTGAGGGATTTGGCTCATGATTTTTTTCTTTCCCAGTCTGACCATTTTTCTGGTTCCTACGACACTCCTGACAGCTCCAGGTGGACAATATTTCCACTCTAAATTATGGACTGAAGTGACCTGAATAGATTCAGAAAGTTTTCTGTCCTTTAAAATTATCCCCTAGAGTCTCTAGAATGAATCACGAGTAGCATCCCTGGAAAGTCTTCTCCATTATAAGAAACTTCAAACTGTGAAGGCTAATTAGGTGTGGGCGTTAATTGTTCTCAACTCATCAGAGAAAGAGGTGTTATAGAAATAAAGGCTTTAAGCTGTTTTTCTTTTAAAGCTGAAAACAAGTACTTTAATATTTATTATCTCTGTTGGTTGGCTTTTATATGTTCAGGATAAAATATAACGTTGTCACTCTGTCTTTATGACCTTCCCTCTGAATTTGGATCACATCAAGTCAAATCAGAAGTTGGTTTCCACTTAAAGTACCCACGGTCCTTCTTATGCCCTGGGTCGTCTCAATCTCAAAGCTGTTATCTCCTCATCCATCCGCCCAAATGACATTCAAGGTAGCATATTTTTGATGCCTAGAAGCTCAGCAAATGAACTCTGGATTCTCTTTGGCTCTACTCTCTCTTTGTCTTTACAGAGAAAACTTGAACTTGGCAGATATAGGTTGGGATCATTTGAAGGGAAGGCACACTTTAGGAGCTAGGGTTTTAGTGCGTGGGTTAGCTGAGAGGGGATATTTTTCCATCTCTGAGCATTCAAGGGTAGCAGAGCTGACTCGCACGAACCTTTCATCTGCTTTGTACTTTCACACATGAATTTTGTTTGGAAGAGACTTAGTGTGTTATATTATGAGCTGTGAGATGGACGTTTTCAATGAGAGGATGTTCTGCAAGTTGGGAAAATTTCCCCCTGTCAGTTCAGTTTTCTTAGTCCTTGCTATTTGTACTCTCGAAGCCACCTTTGCAGAAAAATGGAGCAATCACGGAAACTGCAGTCTTAGGATAGAGGTAGATTGTTGTAGCTGCTGTCTGAGAGACAATGGCATTCACGGTTTAAAACAAAGGCATTCCTGACTGGTTGACTGTCAGTGTTGAGGCCTCTTTTACGCTTGTTCTTCAAGACCCAAGTTTAACCAAGGATGGATGAGCAAGGTTTCGGGGAGGTGTCCTAAACAGGTGGCTGTGGGATGCTTACTAGAAATATGCACCAATGCTTATCTTTCTTTTTCTGTTGCTAGGATAAAATACCCTGACGAAAGCAACATAAAGGAGAAAGATTCACTGTGACTCACGGTTCCAGGTACAGTTGATCATGGCAGGGAAGCAAGGCAGCAGGCACATGAAGCAGTTGCTTGCATTGCATCTACACCCAAGAAGTGGAGATAAATGGAAGTGAAAGCATGTTGCTACCCAGCCCCCTTTCTTCACGTGTCTAGTCCAGGATCCCAGTCAGGGATGAGCACTGCCTACAGCAAGTCTCTCCATCGCAATTGTTGTAATCAAGGTAGCTCTTCAGAGGCCTGCCCAGGGGATCATTTCCCAGGTGATTCTAGATCTAGACAATTAGCATTAACCATGAGTACTTTTTTTTAAGGAAACATGGTCAATTGTCTGTACTTGTACACATAGAATTTCTATTTATTTTGTAAATAACTGGATGGAAGCATCTAGTCCCCTCCCCACACACACCACAAAGGAGGTCAGTGAACTCAACAACACAAACTTAAAAGTACAGGTTCCTTCCTGTATTGTCTGCTCAAGTCCAGTAACCACTAGGTAATTTTCTCTCTTTTTGAGTATGTCTGAGATAACTTATAGGTTTATTTGCATAATGTCACCAGTAGCCTTTTATAGATAGGAGCTGGTCAGGACATGCTACATGGATATAGTGTGACTGCAGCAAGAACAAGACAAGGATGACACTTTTGTGATCTTTTAAATATAAATGCCATTTCCAGAGAGGGACAGAAGTTCATTGTTGCTTCTCAAGGAGACATAACTCATGGCAACTGAATGTTGCCCTAATCTCCACAGCAGAGCTGTTGTGTGGCAATGAGATTCTATGTGCCTGAAGGCTTGCTGCTCTAGTTTAAGAAAACGTTACTGGGCCTCCTAATCATTGCTTGTGGGGGGACAAATTGGCTTAGCCACTTTGGAAGGTGTTCAGGCAGTTTTTGCAAAGTTGACCACAGTTTTACCAGGAAATTCAGCAATAAGATTCATAGGTACTTATTAAATATAATGAAAACACATCCACACTAGAACCTACCTGACTATTCATGATAGGTTTCTATTCAAAGAACTGGGTGCAACTAAGAGACATTTCAACAGTATAGACAAATAAAATAGTATATTTATACAGTGGACTATTGTTCTGTTATGAAATAATCTTTCAAGCCATAAAAAGACATGAAAGAAGCTTAAATCATATTCAAATGGAAGAAGTCAACTTCGAAGGATGCATTCCTTATGATTCCAACTCTTTGACAATCTGGAAAGTCAAAACTATACAAATAGTAAAATATCAGTGGTTCCCAGGGATTGGAGAGGGCAGGGGAAGGGATTTCAGGATGTGATAATGTATCTATACAATACTCTAATAGTGACTCTCATGCATTTATTGAAACCACAGAACTTCACAAAGGCTCAGAGGTCAGAGGACCAGTATAGAACTTCACAAAGGCTCAGACGTCAGAGGACCAGTATAGGATTTCACAGAGGTTCAGATGTCAGAGGACCCGTATAGAATGGGAGCAAGAGATGTGACAAGAGAGCCTAAATGGATGCAAATGTTGGAGATGAGTTTACTCTGGGGGCAGGAGAGAGTGCAGACCAGCTCACTTTGTAATGAGAGGCTCCTGTAAGATTAAAAGCACGAGAAGCCGTAGACACTGCAGTTTTCATTGGTGTGGAGATTAGCTATCCAGAGGTTGTTGCACACTTACTTTGGATTTGAACTATTAAGAGTATCCTGCAAAAAGTAATTCAAAATACTGTTTTATGTAGCTACTATGCCCTAAAAGAGGGAGCCCTCCAACACACAACTCAGTGTTGTCTGTGTCTGGTAGTGCCCTTCCAAAGTGTACAGCACAGAAAGGGGCAGGAGAAGGAGCAGCTGAGGTGAGATCCCTGATAAGTGCTGCTTTGTCTAGGGATTAAGGCCAGCATCGATGGTTATAAATCATGTGGGTAGCAAGCATCCTTGATGCGATGTGAGAAGATGCAGACCTCGCCTCTGCAATATTTCTCCTCCAGAGCATAGCCGTGAGGAAAACATCAGATAAATAAGACAGAAGCCTATGATATGCCTGGTCAATGCTAGAATCTCTGAATGGGACCCAAGGACAGAGAAAGGACACCGAGAGAAAAATTCAAGGAAAGAGACCGAATGAATGGTGGACTTCAATTAAAAACAGTGTAATAGAATTCCCTTTTTTGTGTGTTTTATTGTCTTTATTTCAGTTTTCAAGTTTTGAGCCATTTCCTTCACCTGGAAACTAGGAGAACCCTAAGAGAAATATACATGAATCCCCCTTCCCTGGGATGGTAAAGTAGATAAGACATCCTTAGAGAATTGGCAGCATGAGGGAAAGGGAGGTGGGAGGGTGAGAAGAGAGTGGAGAGGGAAGAAGGGGGGAAAGGAGGAGTGTGCCATCCCACCTGTCTACCATGCCATGGTTTGCAAGTAGGGCAAGGGATTGGTGATTGAAACACACGCATGCACGCACGTGCGCGCATGTGCGTGCGCGCGCGCGCGCGCGCGCGCACACACACACACACTCAGACATGAATCATCCTTGAAACAAGAATGGCCCCTTTATTGTATCCCAGGGCAGCTTATTTGACTAGTGGCCATGCCCTAGTTCTTGGGACTTTTCAGCTGCAAGCTCACCAGAAACCACTCCCCTGCTATCAGGAACTTATGAGGGTCTCATACTCAGAGCAACTGCAAGCATAGGAAAACAAGTTGTTTACTCCAGCAGGCAAGGGGTCACAGAAAATTCAGGGTCTGAGGGTCTGCAGTACCCAACCGAGGAGAACATGAGGGGTTGGGAAGATCATGTTGGTTAAAGGACAGAGAGGGAGAGCAAAGAAAGAGCTTACTTGAGCAATATACAGATTCAATGCAATGACCATCAAAATCCCAGCAAAATTCTTCACAGACCTTGAAAGAATGGTACTTAACTTCATATGGAAAAGCAAAAAACTCAGGATAGCCAAAACAATCCTATACAATAAAAGAACTTCTAAAGGCATCACAATCCCTGACTTCAAACTCTACTACAGAGCTACAATACTGAAAACAGCCTGGTATTGGCATAAGAACAGACAGGAGGACCAATGGAACCAAATAGAAGACCCGGATATAATCTACACACCTCTGAACACCCGATTTTTGACAAAGAAGCAAAAAAATATCAAATGGAAAAAAAAGCATATTTAACAAATGTTACTGGCATAACTGGATATTAACATGCAGAAGAATGAAAATAGACCCATATCTATCACCATGCACAAAACTCAAGTCCAAATGGATCAAAGACCTCAACATAAAGCCAGACACACTGAACCTTATAGAAGAGAAAGTGGGAAGTACACTTGAACGCATTGGCCTAGGAGACAACTTCCTAAATAGAACCCTGGCAGCACAAACACTGAGAGATACAATTAATAAATGGGACCTCCTGAAACTGAAAAGCTTCTATAAAGCAAAGCATATGATCAACAAGACAAAACGATAGCCTACAGAATGGGAAAAGATCCTTACTAACCCCATATCAGACAGAGGTCTGATCTCCAAAATATACAAAGAACTCAAGAAATTGGTCATCAAAAGAACACATAATCCAATAAAATAATGGATTACAGACCTAAACAGAGAACTCTCAACAGAGGAATCTAAAATGACTGAAAGACACTTAAGAAAATGCTCAACATCCTTAGTCATCAGAGAAATGCAAATCAAAACAACTGAGATTCCATCTTACACCTGGATGACAAGTTATGTTGGTTGTGAGGAAAAGGGAACACTTCTACATTGCTGGTGGGAATGCAAGCTGGTACAGCCCCTTTGGATGTCAGTGTTGTGATTTCTCAGAAAATTAGGAAACAACCTTCCTCAAGGCCCAGCAATACCACTTTTGGGTATATATCCAAAGAATGCTCAATTGTGCCACAAGGACATGTGCTCAACTATGTTCATAGCAGCATTGTTTCTCATAGCCAGAACCTTGAAACAACCTAAATGTTCCTCGACTGAAGAATGGATAAGGAAAATGTGGTACATTTACACGATGGAGTACTACACAGCAGAAAAACATAACAACATCTTGAATTTTGCAGGCAAATGGATGGAGCTAGAAAACATTATTTTGAGTGAGGTAACCCAGACCCAGAAAGACAATTATCACATGTACTCACTCATAAGTGGCTTTTAAACATAAAGCAAAGAAAACCAGCCTACAAATCACAATCCCAGAGAACATAGAAAGCAATGAGGACCCTAAGAGGGACATACATGGATCTAATGTACATGGGAAGTAGAAAAAGACAAGCTCTCCTGAGTAAATTGGGAGCATGGGGAACTTGGGGGAGGGTTGAAGTGGGGAGGGGATAGGCATGGAGGGGAGCAGAGAGAAATGTAGAGCTCAATAAAAATCAATAAAAAAGAAAGAGATAACTTGAAAGAGGAAGCCATTGTGGGGTCAGCTAGTAACCGGGCACTAAGGAAATTCCCAGGAAACCACAGGATGACCCCAGCTAAGAATCTGAGCAATAGTGGAGCGGGCATCTGAACTGTCCTTTCCCTGTAATCAGATTGATAACTACCTGAATTGTCATTATAGAACCTTCATTCAGTCATGGATGGATGGAAGCAGATGCAGAGATCCACGGCTAAGCACTGGGCCAAACTCCTGGAGTTCAGTCATAGAGAGGGAGGAGCGATATGAACAAAGCAGCCAAGACCATGGTGGTGACCACAGAAACAGCTGACTCAAGCTAGGAGGAGCTCACCGACTCCAGGCTGACAGCTGGGGAGCCAGCACAAGGCAGAACTAGGTCCTCTGAATGAGGGTGACAGGTATGGCTTGGGAAGATCGTGGGGCCACTATCAGTGGAACAAGTATTTATCCCTAGTGCATGAACTGGCTCTTTGAAGCCCATTCCCTATGGAGGGATATAGCTCAGCATAGATACAATGGGGAGGGCCTTGGTCCTGACTCAAGTGATGTGACAGACTTTGTTGATTCCCCGTGGGAGGCCACACCCTCTCTGAGGAGTGGATGCAGGGTGGGGTGGGGGGGAAGGTGAAGGGAGTGGGAGGATGGGAGTGAGAGGAAACTGGGATTGGTATGTAAAGTAAGATTGTTCTAAAAATAGAACACAGTGTATCAGTATTTGTTCCATAATCTTGATAAGCATGCACTAATAATGTTAATAATAGAGAAACAAGGCCAAGTGTATGAGGACACTGCCTTCTCAATTTTCCTGGGAATTTAAAACAGTTCTAAGCGGTGGTTTGCTTTTTGAAAAAAAAAAATTTGTTAACCAACAAAATATATGTTTAGTTTAATTAAATTTGGAGCATTTAGAAAGAACGAGCAGGGCTAATCTATTCTTGTGAATATTAATAATTTAGGTTTTTTGTATTTTGAGACAAGCACTCATTAGGAAGTCAAAGCTGGGCTTGAACTCATGGTCCCCTGCTTCGGCCTCCTGAATGCAGAGATTATAAGCGTGTGCTGTGTGGCCAAGCACGGTGGGTATTTTAGTCCCTGCTATTGCCACTGTGCAAAGTACAAAACAGCTGAGGAACCAAAGGTTTATTTTGTCTCACACTCTCAGAGGATCCTGTCTTGGCAGGGAGGGCGTGATAACATCGCTGAGTTCACATTACTGAGGGCCAGGAAACAGAGAAAGCGGGAGATCAGAACCAAGTAGCTTTCTCCGTTTTTTTCTTTTGTTCTCTCTGGAGCCCTAGCCGAGGAGACAGCAGCGTTGCTTGCGTTCAGAGTACGATTCCCCCATCACTCCATCCCTGCCTGAATAGACAGAGCCTGTCTCCTAGGTGACTCTATCCAGGTGACAATGGGGATTAACCATCTCAATAAGTAACTGAATAGCACCCGCCTGCAAATAATACCGCATGACGTCAGACAGTATTCTAGGCAGCAAGTTAAAGTGGCTGGTGCCTGCCTTTGTGTGAGGTTTATACAGTTAGTTTGTTTTGAAGCAATCACAACAGATGCCTGCTCCTGCTATTCTGTGAAATCAAAGCGTAGACCTTAGGAAGATGCCAGGTGTGCTGGTTTTCTTTGCAGTGCGACTTCACTTTATCCCATTTCCCTTTCACAGCTAGAATCAACAGTGGCGAGGACTTAGTAACTGACAAAAAAGTTCTGTTATAGGGTCTTTATTTTGTGCTGAAAGAACGGGGTCTTTATTTTGTGCTGAAAGAATACAGATTGGTATTTCTTACAGACAAAACACACAATATAGCCAGGGTGCAGGGAAACTTTGTAAATACCGGGCAGAACATTTGCAGTCACTGTCACCAAGGCGACACACTGAATCGATCCCGAACACCCCAGCCTCTCCATTCTTCTCCCTGCCTTGGCTTCAGCATCTCTCAAGCGAGATTGTGCTATTTTTCACAGTGGTTCTTTGTGAACAGTGTGATGATGGCGTCGTCAGCAGAGCCAGCCATAGCTTACTCTTCATTTTGGACATGACTATCATTTGGTGAAGAAAAAGATTATAATGCCCAAATCGTCAGATCCAACGTACATGGACTTCTTTGGGATTGAAGAAAATAGGACTCTCAGGATGTCATTTTAAATGGCAAAGAACACCAAATTTCTACCAGAAAATGTGAAAACACTAGAAAAGAGCTAGCAAGCCATTCAGACTACTTCTTAAATGATAATTGTGGATGTTCGAGTCACATGCACGTTTTAACTAGCATATTTTGTTATTTTATGAAATTGATATTTATAGTGGCTCAAAACAAACAGAGCTGGGCTCAGTGAGACTGCTCTGACAGGTGCAGTGGAGCAAATTCAACTCACCCATCATAGTTAAGGCTGAAAACATTCGGCGGAGGGAGTTTGGGTATTGCAAATTTTATGGTCCCTTCATGTATGATGGTTTTGCCCTTGAAACTTATGACAGCACAGATCTAGTAATCTCAGCTTAATAAGGCCACAGTGTTCATTTGTGTAAAATAAAGCCAGAGCCCTGGATCCTGGGAATTATCGCACGGTACGAAGCTGAGGATTAATACTTGTAGTTACAGAATGTGTTTGATAATTTAGTTATTCTCATAGAGTCAGCAAGAGCCCAGCATTGGAACTGCTTTCTTCTTCCCAGTGTGCCTTTACTCAGGAAAGAATCGACAGACCCATCCTAGGCCCAAGGAAAAGGAAATAAACAAAAGCACTAGGAACCTTCTGGTGTGAGACTCCTGGGCTGGTGGAGTCTGTGACTCTAAGAGAGAAATGGTGGTTGTTGAGACCTGTCTCTTTCTCTGGGAAGCTGTGGTATACAACCCACTAAGATGGCAACTGAACTGTGTATGCTAGGATCTCAGGAGAGGACTGGGCTAAAGGAAAAGCCTGTGGGAGGAAGTGGGATGAGGGCAACATTTTCCTAGTACCTCCACCCCACCTCGCCTTCAGACCTATCTGCAAGGGCCTTCTCCCTATGGGAGCTAGCAGAAATTAGACTCATATCCGACTGGTCAGCAAGTGTCTGCAGTCACATGCCTGCCATGGGGCACTGAACAGCAAGGGCTGTCCACCAGAAAACTACAAGTAACAGTCCAGGAGGAAAAAAGAGGGCCATTCTTCTGATGCTGTTGTCCCTGAAGGACGTTTTGGGGAATTCCTAATGACAGACCCACTTTAGTAGGGAGCACCTCTCTCTGAGAAGTTACCTGCAGGTTCCTGCAACTGTTGTCACCATAAAAACATGGAAGAGAAGCAGCTATTCCCACTTCTGTCCTTTGGGAGAGAGGGTATTTGATGACGCTCTTATGATATCATTGCTTAGAAACACAGAATCCAAATGGCCGAGTGAAACACTAAAGTCCTCCATTGTGCAATAGCACGCACAGTGGATGCCTCACCGCTTACCCGTGGCACAGCCCATCTAACATTGAGGTGGGGAGAAACCTCTGCTTTTCCTACGACATTGTGAGCCTTTGATCCCATCCCAGTGCTATTACAGTTTCTTCACCCACTCCTCTAGAGAACCACGGGCTGAGGAAGCCACAGAGCCTGTCTCTGAACAACTTCCGTATGTTGTTCCAAGGATCAGACTGTGTCCATTAACACTGAGCTAATGAGGCTTGAGAACTTTCTGTGTGAGTGAAGAACTGAGGGAGTGGGCTTCACAGGCGCTGAGCTGCAGGCAGCACTCATGACTGGAAGACTGCCCAGGCTTCTGAGGCTTAAACCCTGGGCCCAGCATCTGTGTGCATGCATAGTCAGCACGGGATTTGACCTAAGTGGAAAACAGTCTTAAGTTGCTTAACTTTTATTCTTTAACTAAGCTTCATTGCTGTTTCATGCTTTGTTTATTTACTTATTTATTTATTTATGCATATGTGTGGGCGTGGTCCCCTGTGTGTTCCTGTGTGGAAGCCAGAAGTACACACTGGGTGTTTTCCTCCGTCACTGGCCACACCTCATCTTTTGAGATAGTCATTGACTTTGAGCTCATCGCTTCCATGAGGCTGGCTGTCGGCGAAGTTCAGAATCCACTGTTCTTCAGCCTCTCAGTGCTGGGCTTACAGGGGGGAGCTGCCACACTAGTGCTTACATGCGTGCTCCAGCCCAACCCAGGCCTCTGCTTGGGCCCCAGGCACTTGTCCACTGAACTATCTCTCTGAGATGCAGTACTGGCTGGTTTGGGGCTGTATCATTTGTAGATAAAAATCAGTCAGTGATCTTCCACATCAAAGTAAGGATAAGTGGAGTTTCCAACTTCCCCTGGTCCTGGAGGGCGGAGCATGTGTTGTGTGACGCTAGAAAGGCCTTTCCACTGCTCCATTTCTTCCCACCCGAGCCACATAGCTAAGCGTTCACTTTCTATATCTCATCACTCTCCCGTGTGCTAAATGTTCAGGGACATTGGTTCTCTGCTGTAGGAAGGCTTGCAGCTTGTGGTTACCCGCCTCCTGGGTAACCTTATACTATATACTGGGCCTCTTATACTATCTATGCACGGATGCAGATAGTCCCTTCTTCCTTTGCCCCAGCTGCTTTGGATTGTTGGATTGCTGGATTCCATCTCTGTCCACAATTCAAGCAGAGAATTCTAATTTGTGAGTTTGTGAGTTTACCCCTAAATAACTATCTATTTCTCAGTTCTGAGCTAGTGTGGGATTTCTTTTAAGCGTCTGTTCATCAGTTCTCAATCTGTGGATTGGTCCCTTTGTAGGTTGAATGAACCTTTCACCAGGGTTGCCTAAGGCCATCAGAAAACACAGATATTTCCCTTACAACTTGCAACAGTAGCAAAATTACAGTTATAAAGTAACAATGAAAATAATTTTTGATTATGGGGGAGTCACTACAACATAAAGAGTTGTATTAAAGGGTCACAACACTATTGAGAACCACTGTTCTAGGGTGTGTAGTACCCACACATTAGGAAAGGGGACATGGAAGAGTAGGGCACCAAAATACTGACACATCACGCTCTAGTCCACTGGCTGCCCAACCACAAAGCTCAGCTTACCTCACTTACTTCTGAATAAAGAGAGAAAAGACAAATCTGTTTCTTGTCCTTCCTTTCCCAGTTGTAGATGGGTTAGGTCCCAGCACGTTCATTTTCATTTCCAAATCCGCCTCCAGCCAGGTGGTACAATTCACACCAGTGTTCTGCAATTCACTCTCCGGGGTATGACGTTACCTACACCATACATGTTACATAATGATGCTATATGAAGGAACTGCGGTCTGTTTTCTCCTCCTCGTATGTGGGTCTTATTTCCCAGAAGCTGTATGCTATGGAGCACTGTGGTGGGGAAGATGTTCCTTGGGCCCACAGTGGCTTTGTTGGGTGACACCAGAGCTGCTAGGGAGTGCAGTGATTTTAAATGTCTGCCTCTCTCAGGAAGGAGACCCAATTTGATCAGTCTGCCACCACAGACCCCTCTGCAAGAGCCTTCTCCCTGTGGGCTCTTTGGAGATACAGGCATCACCTGCTGACTTCTCCCTGTGGGCTCTTTGGAGACACGAGCATCACCTGCTGACTTTTTGTATTCCTTTTCAGCTTCAGGTTTCACCTTCTCTGGGCGAAGTTTTTATCCAGTTTTACTGTGTTTCACCCTAATAACCTTGACACCTGAAACTTGATCTTCTTTTCAAAATTCAAAATTCTCCTATGTGTAGGAGAATCATTGCTATTAATACACATCACTCAAATCAATCATTTTTACTGTGATATAAATATTCTTTGATGTATATTATTTGTTCTTCCATTTTTTGACATCCACATTTTATTTTTGACCTGTGGCTACTACAGAACCCAGTAAAAAGACATTTATGTGTGTTTCTATTCACACATTTGAGGCTTTTTTATTTTTAAATGTGTGTATATGTTTGTATGTGTGTATGCACATGTGTGTGGATCTGCATATATGAATGTGTGTGTAGAGGTCAGATGTCAACAATGTTGAGAATCTTCCTCAGTGGTCCCCACTCTATCTTTAGAAACAGCGTTTACCACTGAACTTGGAGCTTACTGATTGGCTGGTCTATCTGGCTAGTGGGCTCTGGAAATCCAGCTGTCGCTCCCTGACCCCAGCATTGGGCTTCCAGAAGATCATTGTTGCCTTCAGCCTTTTGTCATGGGTGCTGGAGATCTGAACTCAGGTCCTCATGCTGCTGTAGAAGATCCTTCACCAGCAGAACCATCTCCCTAGCCTTAAACAGGTTAGGTTTGCTTGGGCCTATCCCTAGTAGAACTATAGGTGAGTGAGGTGTGAACACGTCTAATTTTCTCTATTGTTATATTCTTTATGACCTTCTAATTCCATTTACTGAGTTTGAGAATTTAATACCTTGATTTTTCTCAGGAATACTTTACTATTAAGTTCTAATATTTATGCTTATCTGATGGGTGTATGGTGCCACACTATAGTGCCTATGTGAAGATTGTGTGGCAGTATCATTATTAACCCATTTTTGAGATGGGGAATCTGAAGCTTAGGAGATGAGATGTTCAAGGCTTTATAGTTTGTAACAGGCTGACAAACTAGAATAAGAGCATGGGCCATTTATTATCTTACTCCAACATGCTAACTTGGGCTTCACTGAGAGTCCAGATGTTTTATTAAAATGCAGAAGCAAGCAGGGAGCTGACTTTCCCTCTCATTCTGTATTCCAGAAGTCTTCCCTCTGTAAGTACCATCTAAACATTCTATTCATCTTTTTTATTTTCTGTTCCCCCTTTTCTATTTTTCTGTCTTCTCTCTTTCCTTTCTTCCATCCATATATAGTATATACCTTCCACCTTTATATATTTTTAAGTAAATGATTTCTAGCTCAGTCGTCCTGCATGGATTAAGAAGATGAAATTACTAGGTAGTTTGGAAATGACTGTGAGCAAAAATTCTCTCCAGAGCAGCTGCTTCTGATACACACCACTTGTCTCTTTTAATTAGAATAAAATTTAAGCTTTCTTGGGAACTGAAATTATGCAGCAAATTTATAATTAACAATAAAATGTTGAATTGAGAATTGCTTCACTCATTCCTGCATGAATTTTTCATTCTATTTCTCTGACAAGCTTTATTCCTACCTAAAAGAGAATTACCACCCAAACAGATAACTTGAGAAACATGTTTGGAAAACAGACCACAAGCTTGGGATTGCTCCACATGGACCTTACAGTGGAAGGACAGTACTGGGGTTATGGAGACCTAGTCACTCACCACGAAGCTTTGCAAATCCTCAGACACTGAGGGGTTGTTAGGTAGAAGACAAGAAGTGACCTAGAAGATAGGCAGCCTCTTGATGTCCTTAAGACATTTTGATCTCCGTTAGCATTGGGTTTATGCTGTCTTCACCACCTTACATCAAGATATCCTTGGCACTGAGACATCTGACTCCACCTTTGATGCGTCACAGAGATTTTTGTCTTGGGTGGCACACTGTAGGCGTACAACGCTTGACTGTAGAATTTAGTCAAATGGAATTCGTTAGGACAGCAAACATCCCACCTTCTAATCCTAATGGTGCCCTGGAGCTACTACTGTGCACACTGTGGAGGCCCAAAAATGTGAGCCTATTCCACCTTGTCTGAAGGTCAGAGAGCTTGAGCTTATCCAGAGTTGTTGAGAACAATTGTGTCTGTGCACCCTGACCTAGGGTGTGGTTATTTGGCGTTTTGGACATTAAGATGGTCGGTACAGGTAAATCCACTCCCCCCCCCCCCCGACCAAAGGTCAGAGAATTCAAGCATACTTCTGCTCCTTCTTTTGAAATAGGAGGTTTCACCTAGGGAGTGGCTGCCTTCAGGATACTTGGTCTAGGGTGGGTTCACTGCCTAAAAAACAGAATACTTTTCTCAAGAAATAATGACTTGATGTCTCAAGTATTGGGGCAAGTAATTGTTCTGGTTGTCCTTTGGATCATGTTAAAATGGTCTTTTGGGTTTACGAGACACCCAAGAAGCGAGGAGATCCGGTCCAGGCACCAGGAGAGACATCACTGGGGTGAGTGAGTTTCTGACCGCAGCAGCAGCCCGGGACAGGGAACTCAGACACCCCTCTTATACTTCCTGGTCATCCTCAGGGGCTACTCTGCCCAATACCACCTCTCTCTTCCTATCCCACCCAGCTTGCATCCACATCCCTCCTTCCCCCTCCATCTGACTCCCTTCCCTCGTTAACCACATAACATCTCCCAGCCCAGCCTGTCCGGGCTCTAGGGCCGAATCCGAATCGGCAGGGCAAACGGGAGGGTGGTAGCTCCTTTGTTCCCACTAGCCTGCCTGCAGCGAGCTAGGTAGGTCCTTTGATTACAAG